GAAATATAGCAACACTTGCATTGGCTACCCAGGAAGTTAGTAGGTAGTAGTAATCAGGTTAAAAGAAGAATATCAGTAAGTTTTGATAGCTTTAAGGAAACAATAGATTAGTATGATGTTATTTCTGCTTCTATCAAGTATAACTTAGATTGAGTTTTAAGATCAATGCCTCACCGATTTTTCTGTTTTTGTAGGAGCTGAAATTTGCATAGCTACCCCTGGTCGTCTTATTGATTTTCTGGAATGTGGCAAAACAAACCTTCGAAGATGTACATATTTAGTTTTGGATGAAGCAGATCGTATGTTGGACATGGGCTTTGAACCTCAGATTAGGAAGATAGTTGAACAGATCAGAGTAAGTTTGATTGCTTAACTTTATCGCTACTGACTCGGTCAAATTGACTGAGTTCATAACCATGGAGTACTTGCTATCTTTTCCATACTATAAATTTTAATACAGTACATGTATTTTCATAAAATTTGGTACACTTTCAGTAAACATTACAGGTTTCTTTATTTACAAAAAATTTTTTTATGAAGCATTTGTACTAAACATTTGTCTGTGAATATATAGTTCTTTTTTTTTTTTTTTCTTACTACAAGCACAAAGTGATTTTCATTTTAAGATTTAAAATTCTCTTCATCTCAAAAACCTTAAATTTCATTTGTGTGATTTCTAAGTAAATTTCAAATGTTTCAGAGCTAGGTAAATCAAACCTTCGTAAGAGGCTGATCTGATAAACCTTTTATGCTTCTTAATACAATTTATTTTTATATTTGGTCTTCTAAAAAGTGTTTTGCATATTACTTTATTATAATTTACTTTTCAATTATAATATATATAATGCTTTTATAAACTATTAGTTTGTCAGAAAAATTTAAAGAACAGTTTATTTTAAATTTATCCTTTATTATTTTGTCATATTTGTACAAACTTTTTCATACGAATAAACTACCTTAAAGTAAAAACAGATCTTTTCTCAGTGATTTCCTTTTCTTTATTATATTTATTATTTAATCCCGTGAAAAAAAAACATAAAGTTAGCAATGAAAGAAAAATGTTTGTTTGTAGCCCGATCGACAAACACTCATGTGGAGTGCCACATGGCCAAAGGAAGTGCGAGCTTTAGCTGAGGACTTTTTGAAGGATTATGTACAAGTGAATATTGGAGCTCTTCAGCTTAGTGCAAACCACAACATTCTTCAGATTGTTGATGTATGTCAAGAAACAGAAAAGGAATACAAGTAAGTGGTATTTTGGAGATTTAAAATCACTTTATGTTTCTCTGGTTTTTATTCATGGTTATTTTGATATTGAATTTGTATTATTCTGTAGTTTAGATCTTGTATTTTGCTTGTAACTTTTATCCTCACACTACTTATTGCATTAGATTATTGAAGTTGTTGGAAGAAATCATGGGTGAAAAGGAGAACAAGGTAACTTTTAGTATTTTCATTATTATAGAGTGACTAACTGTAGTATCATAATTCCTTGAATCATAGGGTGATTTCATTTTATCATTTTAAAACACAGCTGATGTAGATGAAATAATGTAAAAATTTTAGTGATTGAATGAGTTTGAAGTTGTTTTTTTTTCTTAAAGTTACAACTTGTAAATTTAAATCTACCTAACTTTGAAAAGTGGAAGAACTTTTTTTTTGTTTGAAATCAAAAATCATATACTGTTTGTTTGTATTCATTCTGATTATAGTTGTTAAAACCTTGTACTCTGTCTTTTTAGGTGACTTAATATATGTTTCTTGAATGAATAGAAAAGTTCGGTCCATTTAGAAACATTTTAGAATCTTGATCTTATTTAGCTGATGTTCCTTTGTTGGTTTTATACTCTTTTATAGGAATATTTTTTATCTACGAGTTTTTAAATTATTCTTATTTGTATGATATATTGTAAGTTAAAAATTATTACAGCAGTATTTGTGCTGAACTTGTGTTAAGCTCATAAACTCTGCTACGATTAGATTGTGTTACCAAATTGATATTTGTGTATACTTTGAAACTTAATTTGATTCTTCACGTTAGTATTTTTTTTTTCTAATGTCATTATGATTTAATTTCATATTCTGAAGAATCAGGGTATTATATTAACCATATTTTAAATTTGAGTATATAGTAGAATTATGCAACTTTATAGCTATACTTATTAAAAAAGAATTAAACATTTATTTTTTAAGACTCTTGTTTTCGTTGAAACTAAAAAGAAGGTTGACGATCTTACAAGAAGAATGAGACGAGATGGGTGAGTGTTATATATTTACAGTAAAGAATTTAATATCTCCAAAAGGCTAAAATATAGGTTTAGAAGAAAGCTGTAACCTCTGGAAAACGTGGGGATTTCTCTGAATGTGTTGTATGTGTAGCTGTGGAAAGAAGGTTAATTTATGTCATAGTTTCAATGGTATGATGCACGGATACAAACAGATATAATGTCAAAAACTCTATGGCATTATGCAGCAAAAGGATTTTTGGTATACAGGTTATCTGTTTTATAATTCATGCTTGTGTTAAAATGTCTAAAATACAATTAATATGAACACCCATTTTTTGTTGCTTTATTATTATTATAGTGATTTTTGTGGTTAAGAAAGACAGTTTACCCAAAGACGCGTGAAAAAATGTTCATAAAAGTTTGTATGAACTAGAACTGTAGTCATATGGCCCCTCATATTGTAGAGGGAGTATAGTTGAAAAATTATAATATTGATAGTATATCTATAAATGTTATGGTGAACTTTTTCAAGGTATAAAAACAACCCTGATATATATATATATATATACTGATATTTATTGCGTTAATTTTACTTGTAAATGTTATGTATTCTGTAATACCCCAATTTACAAACACTTTTCTTATTACAATGATATTTGAGGTATCACTATAGTTTTGAAAATGGGACGAAAATTAAAAATGGGATGTAAAAAAAGTCATTGCTAAGCTCTAAAATAAAGTAGGTAAAATCCCATAATAATGATAAATTAAAGTTGATGTAAATGTCACTTAAACATTATACAAATCAAGCAATTCAAAAAGGAAAGGTAAATATAAATTAGTCATTTAACTTTATCATGACCAGTCAGTATCTTCCAAGTGTTGAGTGCACACCTGAACATTACATTTCGAAATTTAAGTAAATATAATAAATTTATCAATTTCAACAATTTATATTTTCTGTCATTATGTGACAAAAATTGTCATAAAATTTAGTATAATTTGCCAAGAAAAAAAGATGAAAACTTTCTAACTTTTGTTTCTGCACAGCTTTTTTTTTTTTCTGAGTTATGCCTGTAAACAAAATATTTATCTTTTTTTTTAATTTCTATTTTTTCTGGCCAGTTTAAAGTATAAACTTATATTTGCCAAGAAACTATTATCCTAAGAAAATATAATAATTAATGTCATTGTTTTTCACATGATGTTCCTTCTCTGTCAGTGGTTTTATTACTACAACCCTTAGTTGCCACTCTTTTATGATGTCTCAGCATATGGTCTGAACTGTTGCTAATAAAGTTGAGCTTTGTAACTAGCTAGGACCAATGCCTAAAAACGACTGGATAGAAGATATTATAATATAAAGTGGTTTGAGTAGTAATTTCTATTTTCTTAATATGCTACCTACCTTGCTGTCCTGTAAGGGAGAACAAAGGATTCTAATGTGAAGTTTACAGCATTTAGTTAATAAAACCAGATCTAGAAATTTCTATAGTTTCTGTAGATAGTTTTTCATTCCAGAAATTTTTTTGGATACTAAATTTTATCTATTTTAAAGCTACGGAAATTTTCTATCTTGATAATACATCAGGTAAGCTTAGTTAGGTTGAGTGAATGTAGTTTAGCAAAATATTCTGATAACTTAAATTCTTGTTCATTGAATATTGTTAGTTTTTTCTATTCAAGCATTATGAACAAATCAGCTAATGTATTACTCATTGAAAATAAACTATATTTATTCAACATAATCTGGATCAAGAGTGCTGTTTGCAAAAATCATGATACCTAGCCTGAGAGAGATAACAGTGACACCATTTTGGAGGGTGCAGTTCTATGTCACTATAATTCTTTGTTAGTTTTGGCTGTGTTTTTTATAATTGATAAAATAAAGTATCAAAAGAATTTTGTAAAAGGATTAAAATTAAGTTGAAACTCCGTAGATATTTAATGTTGAACTCTGATCAGCGATAAAAATAAATAAATTCTGAGATGAAAGAATGTATTTTTAATGGTTTTGTTTTCAAAACTGTATCTCGACAAAATTTTGGAAATTTCACAATGTAAAAAGCTATAAAAATGCTAAATCGTTTTATCTGGATGTTTTGAAAACAGAAACTAGGTACTATTTAGTAAACTTGTACTTATTTTCATGTAATTCAATTAAGTATTTCCACTGTGAGGAGGAAAAAAAATTGTGAAATATCAATGTCACCCCTCTAAAAATAACTATTACATAAATTTTAATATATAACCACTATGATAAATAATGAAAATAGCCTCGTTTTTTGCTTAAAGAAGTGTGAACCTATTAAGCATCATTCAGCATTTATTAAAAATTTTCATCTAAAGTAAGCTTAGGGTATAGTAAAGAACTAAAATAATTTAATAAGTAACTTAATTCACTGAAGACAATTATTTATATCAAACTGACTAAAAATACTCAATGTAAAGAATTCATACTTATAAGGATTAAGTTACATTGAATCAGAAATTGGATATCCTTACTACTAGTAACATTTTTGGCCATAAATGGGAGACGAATATATGGAAAATTGAATCAATATTCACAAATGCATTGTTGGTTGTAGATGGCCTGCCATGTGTATCCATGGAGACAAAGCACAACCAGAACGAGATTGGGTATTAAATGGTAAGCCAAGCCCTTAAAGTTGCAATTCATTCTTAGAAATGCATCATTTATAGGTTTGTTGTATTGTATTAAGCAACAGTAAACTGAGGTTCTGTGTATATATTTTTTTGAGTATTCTTTGTGATTGAGAAAAATGTGTTATAAAATGATGCATTTTTCTGTTTATGAAGACCATTTAGCCGTAAGCAGAGTATCTTATCTTCTGTTTATTAAAATCTCTCCTATAATTGTTGTGGAAGGAATTGTGATTTACTATTTTATTTTATAGCCATTAAAGTGATATCTACAAGAAATATAACTTTCTTGATATTGGTTGTAAAACACTGGTAAACTAGAAAATGTTTCTTATTGCTGAATATTCTTAGCACTAAAGTGTTAAGTATGCTTTTATTCTTTTTTTAACCAGTCGACTACGTATTTTAACTACATTATACTTTTATGTGTGGACACTGTCCAAGTACTTATAAGCTTCAAGTAATTAAAACTGTGTTTACCATGATTGGTAACAAAAAGGAATATGGAAGGGTGTATTTATTATATTTTTGTTCTAAGGAAATATGTAGAGATGAGTTTTATACATCTAACTTTCTTGTACATCATTAAACACATTACCAGAATTTTAATTTTTTTGGGGTATGAAATAATTAACTGAAGACCTGTGCTCAGTAGTGTTTGCTTAGACTCTGTTCTTCTCATTTTGTTCACTGTACTTAGGATTAAATATTTTTTTGGTAATATAAACATTTTGCTGTAGGTTATATAGTTTTAAGATGACCTTATTTACTTGTAAAAGTTGTGATCTAGACTTGTTGTAGATAGCAATGACGCCAGTATTTTGAAGTGATTAGTAAAATGCTTTTTTGTAAAGCAACTGTTTATGTTAAAGCCAAGTCTTACAAGCAAATTTAAACTTCTAGTTTGATCAGAAAGGCAGAATTTATTATGCTAACTTGATTTTTCTTATGGGAAGATACTGTTTCAGTTTTGTTTAGTTAAGTAATTTTTGTTCTAAAATCTATAACTAGTGCTAGTAACTACAACCAAATCTAGATCTGTGTTACATTGTATAGGTCTCACCATGACAAGAGACAAATGATACTAGTTGAAGAAGGCTTGTATTATCTAGAATAACAAATAATTCTTTTTGGATAATTAGCATAAAGTTTACTGACATCTTGTAATGCTTTGGCTTAATTGGCATCAAATGAACACAAAGAATATAAAAAGAAACCAAGTTCACATTTCTCAGTATACTCTAAATATATATATGTAAAGTTTTTTATTTTAGTGTATTAACCATTGGAACTTAAAAAAAATGCTGCTTGTTATAGTTAATAAATACGTATGGTGATTAGTAAATAATTAAAGACAGCCATTTGCTGTTTTGTCAAGTGGCAGGATGTTAAGAATCAAAATGTATGTTTGTAGGGAAGAACGATACTAACAGTGGAATCTTTGTTGGTCTTTTAGAACATAGTCTGAAAGTTTTTTCTGACCATATTATGATTTATAGCTCACTATGTGTTTCTGCTTATTATTTTTTGTGTTTATTTTATAGAATTTAGAGGAGGCAAATCTCCAATTCTTGTTGCTACTGATGTGGCTGCCAGAGGCCTGGGTATGTGTTGAATACATTAATTAAGCTTAATGGTGGGTGTAAGGTAATTTTCAGCTAAAGTTTAAAGTTTTTAAATTTACCACTAATCTCAATACTATTTATTGATTTTATTTTATTAATGTGTATTTAAATGTATATATATGAAACACAGACAATAAAACTTGGGTTTGGCATGACAAGATTGAGAGGGCATGTTCAATTTGATATTAATTTTTTAAATAAAATATTTAGATTTAAAGTTTAAATATTTCAATGTTCATATTTGTAATAAATGTAGGTTTTAAGGTTTTATACTTCTTGAATATTTGTTAATGGGAGGTTTTCTTCTTTCTTTTTCAGAGGCACTGTAATTATTGGCAGTTACATTCGGTGCCTCTGTAGCTGGTTCACCTGTTCCTTCGCAAGGTTGTAACTTCGTCGAGGACCTTGCGTAGGATTTTTTTTGGCTGACTTCTCTTACTATAAATCCGTTGGTCAGTCAGACGTGGAGTCCACTCGTTCCCTCTCTGTGGCAGCTGTGCACCTGTCATGTCATCCCCTGACTCTGAGTCTTCTGGTAGTCATCATTACCTGTGGTTGTGCAGTCAAAACAGCTGCTCTGGTTTATTGTATTCTGTGCAACATTTGGATTATTATAGCATATGCAGCAGTAAGAAATGTTCAGGTACAAACAGGTATCAGCACAGCAAACTATTCTACATGTAAGTTATGATCTTGGGAAATTAACAATACAGAAAGAGAGCAATAACCAGAGAGCAGCTACTCAGTGGGTCCTTATAGGCAAATAGCTTAGCAGCCAAGTGGTAAAGTGCCATTAGGCCCTGTCAACGTCCACTCTTCCCTCCAAGGACGTACAGGGCTGGCTTCTATAAGCATCTTGCCTGTCTCTTTAACTTGGGGCTCGCAGTCCTGCTGATGACTGGAGCTATCCTTAATTGTTGTTACCCACATGGAGTGAGAGGAAATAAGGAGACCATTCAACCACAGGTAATTGGTTGGCTCTTGTTTTATTCACTTTTTTTTTTACATAATCTGTAGCAGAGCCTTTATCATTGTAGTAGTTTGATACATGTAAGGTGCTTTGAAACTCTTAATTTTTTAAGTTTAAAGCTTTGTAATAGACTTTTATAGTTTTTGGAAATCTTTAGTTCACAGAAGTGTTTAATTTTTGAACCTTTTATGAGGAAAGCCTGAAAGTAAGTATTCATTTTATTGATATATTCAAGTAATTTATATATAAAGGCAAGTGATAATTTACCAGTTACTTGTAATGGTTGTGCAAAAAATACCAAATAATTTTAATAGCACAGACATGTTCTTTATATCGATTGTGATTTTTGTCCAGTTTTTATATAAAGAAGACTTAGTGATACATTTGCAAACGTGTTATGTGACCAATTCTAAAGTACCAGAGTGATATTAGTAAAAAAAACTTGCTACCATAGCCATATTAAAAATTTGTAATGTATTTGTACCAGTAGAGGTTTTATTCAATTTGTATGATGCAAGGTGACATTTTTTTAATATACTAACTTTTTTCATAAACTTTTACAGTGTTTATATGGTATGTGTTAAATATCCAGCGTTCCTTGTTGAAAGATCAGTTACTAGTAAAATTTTAAATCATTTAAATTAAATGTATTATTGCTTCAACCATTTCCTCAAACAATTAATTATATATTTCCTTGTTTTTTTCTCATGTGTCACATGCGGCTTTGTGACTGTTATGTGTATATATATATATAGATGTTGAGGATATAAAGTTTGTCATAAACTTTGACTACCCAAACTGCTCTGAAGACTACGTACATCGTATTGGACGCACAGCACGAAGCAACAAGTCTGGCACAGCCTATACTTTTTTTACACCTAATAACATTAAGCAGGCCAGTGATTTGATATCTGTTCTGAAAGAAGCCAATCAGGTTGTTAACCCAAAGCTGTATGAACTGATGGAGATGTCTAAAGGAGTCTCTTCAGGAAGAGGTACAGTTTTTTTCTCTCGTAATTTTAAGAATCTAAAGTCTATTAAAGAGTGTTTGTTTTTTTTCAAGCAGGTAATTTTCTTAATAACTAGTTTTTAATTTTGGTGTGCAAATTCCCGAAACACTACATCTTGGCCATTGGTAAAATACAAAATTTTCAGTCTGTATCTACAAATCTATGTTCCAAAAAAATAAAAGATCCAGCTACTTTGATTTATTTATTGGGAGAAGTCTTGAGTTTTCGATTCTCAAATCAAGTTTTGCCGAAAAAGAGCCACATGATGTAAATGTTTGACCACTAAAGCAATAAGGAGTATAAATTTTGAGATTTTGCCTAAAGATTTAGTCCTAAATTATAATTTAGTTTTCACATTTCTTTTATGATTCATGAATTTGTTATATTTCAGTGTTCATTATAACACTTGAATTAGGAAAAAAAATGGGTTCCCTTATCTTTTTACACACACAAAAAAAAAAGTTTCTGCTTCAACAGCAAAGGAAACAGAATGAATGTTGTTGTGTTGAATCAAAGCAAAATAAAGACAAAAAAACCTGTTTTTTTTGAAAACTTTATGATGGTGAAAATGATTCATAGAAGAGCTTTAAGCTAGTTTTAATCTGTGGCTCCTGGATGCATCATAAAGCAGTTTTCTCCATTCTTGGTGTTACAATTTGTGCTTTAATCTGACCACTCATATATTTGATAATTATATCAATCACATTAGATTACAACTTTTATTATTTAATGAACATAAGTTAGAAATTTTCAATTATTAAGATTGTTCTCTTTTTAGATAAAACAAGACTATAATTGCAACACTGCCCTCTTATGTGAGCTTTACCTGTTTGTTTCATCCGTTAATTGTAGTGAGACAAGTGTTTGTTTAAAAACGTGATAAATGTTTAAAAAACATATTTAAATTATGTTTTATTCATTGGATATGTTGTCGTGAGTTTAAAGTTAGATTAGTATTTCGAGCAGTGTATAGACTCGTGATACGAAGACAAATAAAAAAGCAGGTTAAATTATGTTCACTCAACTCATAGCAGGTTAGGATGTACAAAAACAGTTGTGTCACTGACTGACTGACTATATGTGTTACTCAGAAATCTGATATAATAATTGTTCTAGTTAAAAATAAGAAATGGAGTATTTTAGTTAGCATTAGCAGTAAGTTTATTTGTAAATCTTCCCTCAGTAGCTCAGTGATAAGTCTGAAGGCTTACAATGCTAAAAACTGGGTTTTGATACTTGTAGTGGGCACGGCTTTGTGCTCAACAACAATCAATCATGTTTTAAATATGGTGGGCTTCAGAAAAATAAGTGATAACAGTTTTGTAAAAGTTTGCTGGAATTTTATAATATTCTTAGTAAACTTCAAGTTAGTAATATTTACATAAAAACCACTACCATTAAGTATAGTCTTTCTCTTCAGTGTTGCGTAGAGTAAGTCTCCAGGTAGGATTTGTGTAGTTTTTATTTCTATTTAAATGCTTATGATTTTATCAATTTTGGAAATTATAACATGTAATTTTTTTTTTTACAAATCTCTAGTTGGGTGTACAGTATTTAATTAGAATATTGCATTAACCAAAATGATGTTACTGCTATTAATGTTGAAAATTATATTCTTTAATTGTTACAAAGGTCGCAATCGCTGGAAGAACCCTGGTAATCAGGGAAGTGAGACCCGTGGTTACAATCAAAACTATGGACGAGAAAGCAGAAGAGATAGTAGTCAAAGAGGTGGTAGGGATAGAAGTGAGAGGGGTCGTAATGACCAGGACCAAAGAAGAAGATCAAGCTCTAATTTTTCAAACCAAAGAGAATCAAATAAGTTCAGCAACCAACCATCACAGCCTCTTCTTCCCCAGCCTCAAGGGATGGGAAATTTCAACATGGCCAGTCATTCTGGTAGCAGTGCTTCTGGTGCACATGCTGGAGGTCCACCAAATCAGAGAAGTGGTAAGATGATTAACTCGCACCATGGAAAGCTAGTGAACCAGCAAGGACAAGCACAAAATCAACACACTGGAAACCAGCCAAACCAGATGTATAACCATCAACAGCCACAGCAACATGCTGGAAATATGCATATGAATGGACCAAGTGCTCCTAACCAGCAAGGTCCAATGGGAATGTCTGGAATGATGATGCCCAACATGTATGGGCAGTATGCAGGCCTCCAGATGCAAAGAGCTCAATCAACAATGAATGGAATGTTCCAGTCTCCACCGCCACCTCCTCCTCGTAACTAAACTTGTGAAGTAAAATGTATCATCTGTTGACTCTTGCCATTATTCTACTTTGTCTACCAGCATCTCCTCCTCGTAACTGAACTTGTGAAGTAAATTGTATCATCTGTTGACTCTTGCCGTTATTCTACTTTGTCTACCAGCATCTCCTCCTCGTAACTAAACTTGTGAAGTAAAATGTATCATCTGTTGAGCATTTCTATTCTAACCTGTTCTTGTACTGTTTTATATAACTTATAAAGTTTTCATTAATAGGTCGTCTGGAAATGTACTAATTTGGTATGAGCTGTACATTGTTATTTTTCACTTTTGTGCTTTTCATCAGTATAAAAGGTACTTTTTATTTCTAAATAACTTATATTTATTTTTGATGAATATTGTTATTTCTAGCTGTTTACTTTATAGTGTAAAAGTTCACAGTATAATAAAATATATTGATATCAAAGCTTGAATTCTTTCAGAAGATGACTTCTAAAGTATTCCGGCTGTTAGGTTTAGTTAAATTTGAATTGGTGTTATATGTGTGAAAGTAAATATTTTAATTTAGCTTGTCAAATTTTCAGGTGGTGTGTCTTGGGCAGTAATTATAGTGTGGACTACACATACATTTTATGTTTGAAAACTTAGACCTTTATGTTTTCTTTGTAAAGTGATCTGTGACTCCTTTGTTAATGAATGTGTTGAGGGGCCATGAAAAATGACTTTGTACAGTGTCATGGAAGTCGTTCTGCTTCTCTTAAAATCTATGTTTTATATCTGTAATAAAGGTTGGTAAAATTAATATACTTGATGTGTTAAAAGCACATTATTATACATTTACAAATCAGTTATATTTTTATTGTTAAAAATACACTATTCACCAAATCATCAGATCTAAACATTACATTTGAAATAATTTTTATTATTCATTACTATTAGGAAAATGTGTGGCTGTCGCTCTGATTAGGTGGGCAGGCCATATGGTGTCAGTGTAATATAACTAAACTATCTGGCAAAATGTATGTTTAGTGCTTTTGTGATTATTAAAATTCTTAGACTGAAATGTATATTACTAAATAGTGCTTTCACATTTCTGTTGTAATCTTTTTATTTCAATAGTTTTTGGTAGTTCTGACATTAATAATACTGTTTTATTACTGTAACCACGTATAAAATTTATCATCAGAAAAAAAAAAAGAGTTAATGCTTCACATAATCTGTTCTAGTTGAAATATTTAGTTGATACATTAAAAATTTATATTGTTGTCTGATTTCCGAACAGTTAAAAAGCTTGATATATATTGACACTGATTTGAATGTTCCATTCCTTATGCCATTGTTGTCTTAAAAATTATATTACTAAGTAAACAGTTGATGCCACAAGTTCAGTTTCAGCAAACAAGAGTTAAATTACTAAAGTATTGATAATTTAGTAGATTTCAGGTTCCAATAAGCAAACTGTAAAATGTATTAAATTGGTATTAAAGGTAATTTTAAATTCCCATTTGGTAAAAATTAGTAGTTTGGTGATCATTTATAGATTTAACAATAGAACTAGAATGTGACACAATTTTTAAAAATGGTGAAACAAGAAAATGTGTATTATTGCGATAAAAAAGATTTAGCAAAATAAAGCAATTAGGTTACAAATCTGTTAAATCATTGAGATTGCCCTTGTCCTCAGGGAAGGAATTTAAATGATGCCATAACCATTCTGTCCTGCAAGTTCCCTATTTTGGACAACAAAAATAAGTTGTTTAGTGTAGGAAGTAAACATAACTATTTAGGCATCAAGTTTCTTGTGTTTCCATCACAACAGGATTCCTAAAAATACAAATCACACAAAAATACTGTCCTACTACTTACTGATAGGGTTTCCTATATATATATATATTACCAAGAAAAAAAAGGGGAAGGGATAATTTTCATCCATTGTTTTTAAATCTTTACACTAAGTGTTGTGACAAGCAAAAAATGACTCAACATGATGCAATATGTGGACTCCAGAAGTAGTGAACATTAAGTAACCAAGTTGGTTAACCTACTTGTCATGTTTTGTGCTGTGATTAGTCTTTTAAAAGGAACTAAATAGTAATCCTGTCACGTGCTCTTCATTTATGTGATTGTTAGATTAAAATTCTGATCTTTTTATATATTCTTTGTGTATGTATAATGTGCTAACTGCCAAAATATACTTTGAAGTAGTTAAAATGAACCATGCTGAAATTAGTACTGCTTAAAAAAGAGCTAAAATAAATGCAGAACATTTTATAAATATTGACTGGTCTAATGATTGGAAAATCCCACTCCACAACATGCTGCTGGTCTAAATTTACTTGAACCTTGAGGTTTCTGATCTGGTCTAAGTCTTAGCCCATGTGTCAAGTGTGTTGCCATTAAGGTTGAAAATACCAAGTATACACGTTCTAACAAAATCATGTTGGAAAAATTGTTCTATTAAACCCAAATTAGTTAAAATATTGTAATGAATTTACTGATCAAATGAAATATTAAAATAATAGCAGTATATTTGGAAATTCCTGTAATTCTAAATAATATTCATATATTTAGTTTATCAATTAATGAAATTAACATTTTAAAATAATGGCTGTTTTGTCTATATGAACAGCGTTATTCACCTATCATAAAAATCAAAGGGAAAAAGTGAGATTATCTAGTTGGAAAATTCTTTACAATATGTAACACCAAAGCAAGGATAAAATATCTACTTTCATTTGACTTTCTTTAGTGCTTCTCATATCTTGAGTTATGACTTACCATTCTGTGTTTCTCAAAACTTTACACGGATTGGTCTGGGCAAAACAAGTTGAACTTGACTCGTAACTCTTGTCAGATATATTCTAAAATAGGTTGAGCTAAGTTGTTAATATAGTTCCTCTATGTCCAGTGAGAGGACAAGTTTAACCTGACTAGATGATCTCGGGCTTGCTTAAGGATAGAATAAGTTTAACTTGTCTTAGTAGTCCTAAAGTAGGATAACTTCAGCTAATTCTAACATTACTCAGTGTAGTACTCTAAAGGTGTATTACAATGAAAGTTACAGAAAGTGTAGGCAAATTCCATTTTGACCATAACTGATAACAAACACAACATTAATTCATGGAAGTATTACAGACTTCTTACAATCCTTGGCCAAGACTATTTCTGAGTGAAGCCAGCAATAAGGAATCTAAATTAGATGTACTTCTGCAGGGTTCCCAAAAGTGTTCTGTTTCAAGAGTAAATAAAACCAAAATTAAGAGTAACAAATAATTTTATTTCTTGCTATGTCATACTGTGTTGTAACCTAGAGTGTGCATAATTCTTCTTGTGATTCATGGCATGCACACGTTTTACTTACGTCACGATAGTACAAATTGCAATGTTAAGTGTCCCTTATGTGACTTAATTTTAGTGTCTACTAACTGACTGACAGACAACACACAACCGTATAGTGGTGGAATAGGTTAAAACAGGTGACCCCTCTAGGCGGCCCTCCACCTCCTTTTGGGGAAATAAATTTTTCTTGTATGCTACACACACACACAGTCTTTTCCTTCTGAGTTTAACCTACAATTCTAATTATGTTAAGAGTTCATTCCACATGCACTAGAACACACCAAACAGTTTGAGGATGCTTCAGAGACGTCAAAACTGATTTTAAGTATGCATAGTTAACACAAGGCTGTCTTTATTCTTTGTGGTGACTGTACTTTGTAGTTAGTGAAATATGAAGTGTAAAGGTTAACATCCAATTAGAACAAACTACCTACTTGGAGCAATACTAATATAACTAATTAAATGTACTTTTATTATATTTGTACACAAGATTTATTTGGCCAGCTGAAGAGACTTGGGTTATGTCCTAAGTTAACAATGCAAGAAAATTAAATAAGTAAAACTACATATATTAAACATTCTATCTAATATTGTTAATGGAATTAACATTAAAGAAATAATTGATTATACCTTGCAGCATGCACAAACACTAGTAGTTAACTTCAAGCACTGTTGTAGATGTGTAAGAAAGTTTTTCCACAATCATCCCTAAAAGTATCTTGACCAATAAAAACCCATCAAATGACTCCAACAGTGTAGATTTAGAGGAGCCTGACATCTGAGATAAAATGCTACAACATATATTACTGTTTAGGAGTGGAATCGAGTGGAGGACATTGTCATAATGTATGCTTATGAAAAAAAAAATTAAACAGCTAGAATATTGATACGCTAATTAAAATACAGCCACATTAAATGTAATGAAAAAAAATCATACTTGGAGTTGTGTCTAACACAACTAATCTGACATTTAACTTTTCTGTAAAAGCTGAAAAATTGAATGCAATAATAATAATGAGACTTATAAAAGGAATTTACAAAAAATGATGTAATGTTATACCATATATAGCTAATATTAATTATACATAATAAAAGCTTAAGTGACAGGTAAAACTTGTGGTGATCAATACATAAAACAGTTCAGTATTACCTTGAACAATTTATAAAGAAATTAAAAGTCTAGATGTGGAAGTTGTGATGTTTTACAAATCTTATAAAAAAACCTTAATTAGTAGCAACAATATTCTTGAATTTCCTTTAATGTGAGACAACATCAAATATTTATCTGCCTCACAAATCATTTGATAGGTCATCAGATGTTTGACTTGTATAAAAATTAACTTAATAACTGTATATACAGGATCCTGGCTAATAGATGCAAACTTGGTAATTTTGTCCAACTGATATTGACTACTCAATGTAACTAGTGATTTTTGAGCATTTTGCAAAAATTATACATTTTTAGAGAAGACGTGCAATGCAAAAAACAAACATAACTGGTAACAGCAACCACTATTATAAGATAATACCAACTGGTTACACCGGATCACTAGGTCAGTATGATAAAGAATGTTAATAAAACAGGGATACTAGGTACACAGACATTATTTAAACAATGGCAGTAACCTTACAGTTGAAATAATAATTAATAGTTAAAATTTCTGAATTAAAAACATAGAATTACTGTGAAACTAAGGAGCAGTTACAAAAAACTGATGGAGTGAATGTGTTAATATATGAATTAAACAAGTAATAAATTTTTGAAATTAGTAAAATAGCACCATTGTATAGTACAGGTACATATATATCTGTAGTTTATTTCAGAATTATTGCAAAAAGCCATATAAAGAGTTATTCACAGATAACTGTCCCTAATTACAAATTGATGGGTTAGAAAGAAGGCAATTAGTTCACAGCACTCGCCAGTAACTCTTGTGTGATTGAACTGTGGGATCTGACCATCATTCATATAGAGTACTTGTGTCCTCAAAGTCATGAGCTTAATGTTAAAAAAAAGTGTTAGGCAGTCTACCTACATGGTGAAACTGAGGTACTGGACACACTACATAAAGAAATCAACATCAATTATAGGTCTGATTATAATATAAGGTATACAAACAAGAAGTAATTGTGAAAACACATTCCACATAATAAGAGCTGAATATATAAAGAAATCAACAATTTCCTCGAGTATCTAGTGTTTAAGTTAGGTAAATATCAACAAAACAAAGTCAGCTGAAACTCACTAATTGTAGTTTATTCTTTAAATCTGGTTTTACAACTTCTTTAATTGTATGAAACTTACAGAGCAGGCAATTAATTTATCTCTCTTACAAATCACGACAAAAAGAAATATCAAAAAATACATTAATATATCTTAACATGTGCACTTGATACACAAATTTACAATCTGCACCTTAACTTCTTTCTATTCTAAGTTATGAGTATTATAATAGTGAAATGTCTGTCATGCTTTGTATCTCCTGAATGGTTAATCTTATAAAAACAATATATCAAAATGCTTCTTTAAAAGGATATTACAGAAAAATTATTAATTTTTTGCAACTTCTAAAATTTCATATTGATTTCAACATGATTTTGTCAGTATTTGTATGTGCTGAACAGCCAGTCTAAGAAAAACTCGTCTGGAACAAGAATGTTTCTTTTCATGAGGGAATTTCACAAAAAAAATTGGACTTCCTCTGTTATGTGTGGTTGTTGTTCGTTAATGAAAATTTTTTTTTCATGTTTGTATTATATACATGCATGATTTTATTGTACCATGTTGAATAAATTGATTTGAATTAAAATCAATATCTCCCTCTTTGATACATCTTATAGAAATGAAAATTGTCAAAAAGCACTCACTTTGGTAGCAGTCTTTCTTTGCGCTCAGTAAAAATACAAGGAACAGTGGCATTCAGCAGAAAAAATCCCTGCAGCTCCTTAGCGAATTTGAGTGCTCTATTATGCTGCATGCACCCATTGCATCAAAAAACAAACATTTTAGCCAACACTGCATTGCAAGCAGTCTCCTTTGCTTAAAAAAAAATGCAATTCAATTTTTCTTATTGAATCAACACATGGAATGACAAATACAGTTGTAAATGGCCCACTAGACAATCATATTGCATATATGCTTTGATCCAAGGCATTGGGTTGACTGCACATTTTTTATTTATTCATCACTATCTTTAGGAAATTTACCATTGAATTATTTTAGCCTGCATCTGCTAGTATGTTAGAATGTGCCAATCAGAATTCCGAATTATGTTGATTTGGGATACAACGTACATAGTCGTGGGTCTAGGTGCTATGTATAGCATCAACTTTCATGAACAATTGTTACAGTGTGAACTAGATTAAGTAATTTAGTTGTAGTTATTATCGAGTTTCTTTAAGTTATTTACTTATCAAATTCTTAGGGTGATGATTAATAACACAATGTTATTTATTTATTATATATTTAAGACTATTTATTTATTTATAATTTTCACTTGAATCAACTTTACTATCATTGGTAGTTCACCACACCTTGCATCTTTAACACCCAGGCCCATTGACATGGAAGGACATCTGGAGTCAACTGTGGAAAATATATCATTATTCCTCCTGTTGCATCCTTTTTAAAGTCCAGAATATCTTTCACCCCAAGCATTGAGATTTTGGAATTGCTATTCAAGACTGGTGCTCCTAAATAAAGCTGATTGTTCTTTGGCCAATTCAACACAAATACATACACAGAAGGAACAACAGCATTCTTCCCTCCTTTTGTGTACCTACACAAAAACACATAAATAAAACAATCTGTAAGAATTAAACACTAAATACATATAATGAAAGCCATTCTTTTTCACAATACTCTTTTAAGCGTAAAGAGTGAAAAATGTTGATCTAAATGTGTCACAAAATAAATAATGTGAAAGTTGAAGCTAAAAATTAAGAAAATCTGTCTGAAATTTGCAGATCCTTAACAGCATAGAATTATTATGATTTACAATAAGCACAAAAGACAAAAATTTTTTAATTTTATTTTTTAAGAGGGACTGATAACACTCCTGTTTGTTTGTCATATTTATTTTTTCAGAACTACTGGAGAAGGGTTCTCTCATTTATACGTGCATTATTATACCCATGAATGTCTGCATTATGTTTAGTAGCTGCAATTCAAAGAAGATAAGAAATGTTCCCTTCTCTAATGTTAAAGTTTTTAGGAGAACTGAATACAGATCTTTATAAAATAATTGAAAAATATTTTAAAAGCAACTGAACTGATAATCTTTATGAATTTATTTCTGAAAAAAGAAAAGGAGTATCAGTTGTTTTCTTCTAGAATTTCCACATTTTTTTTTTAGGTAGGATTATAGTGACGTCTGATTTCTAGTATATTTTGAAATTCTGTAAATATTAAACTCAACAGAAATCAGTTGAAAGAGAAGAACTGAAATATTTGTTGATAAATCACAGAGCTGAAAAATAAATGTTCAAAATATTTCATTAGATACTGATCAGCCTGTAAAAAACAATTTTAGAGGTGTGACTCTGTCAGACATTTCACTTAGCAATATGGTACAGAGAGTATGGTCCTGCCAGCTAGCTATTCCATGTAGCAATAATATATCAGCTTTGTTTGAAGAATAACAAGATTCTGTCGGATATTTTACTTACCATATATTCGGTGTAACTGTGTCATTTTGATAGGTCCAAGGTCGACTTTCATAAACGGCTTCACCATTTACACTTAACCATTTTCCGAGGTTTCGAAGTCTTTCTTCAAAAATTGGTATGATTCTACCATCATGAGTGGGACCAACATTAATCAGAATATTTCCTCCACAACTAGTAGAAATTAGGGGAATAAACAACAACATAAAATAAACAACTGAGTTCATCTTTTCAACTTTAAGATTGACTGTGTATGTTTATTTTGATATAGACAATGCATATTAGAATTGCACATAAAACTATAGCAATGTACGTTGCAACTGTAAGCTTGATACAAATGTTGAAACAAAATGTAAACACATTTAATCTGTATGGGAAATATAAACTCTTCACACAAGGTTCACTGCTCAAGTGTATGGATAAGTTAATATCTCCACCTGTATGACTTGAAGACATTATTCAACGCTGATGACTTTTTCCTTAACGGAAGACTGACTGTAGAGCTTTGCTTTATAACAGAATGTGTAAAATGCTAATATTATATTGTGTTAATAATATCATAACTATTGTATTATGAATACTTGATTATAGTTTGTTTATCATTAAGCACAAATCTGCACAATGGGCTATGTGTATTGTACCTACTATGGGAAATTAACCCAAAATTTTAGCATTACAAGCTTTCAGGCTTACTACTGAGCCACTGTGGGAAACTATTATAGAGTTGCACAATTTTGAATCAAGCAGATAAAAATCATTTGCATAAAAAAAAAGATATTATAATAATAATAATTAGTAATTTTTTAATTCTATAGGGTTTTAGAGAAAAACACTTCTTTAAACACTTAGAACAAAAAGGTCAGGTGTAAGTTTAACTTGTACTGGTTAGTTTTTCATTATGCAGAACATTTCTGTCTCCAGTGTAAAGATGGTAGGGGGCACTGCTAAAAACTTAAAATATGATCAGTGATATAACTGTTCTGATTGTAATCTTTCTTTGTGATTTGTATCAAAAGCTGCCAACATTCAGTTCATAATAATTACTTTGATTCAATAAGAAGGCAAATGATTCCTATATTGGAGTGTCCTATCAGTTGTATTTGTACAGTTACAGGTTCCCACTCTTTCTAAACTCTAAAAATTAAGGACTTGGAAAATTGTCTACATTAACCACTTATACACATAGCAACAGATCCATTCAATGCTAAATGTTCAACTGTGAATCATGGACAACGTAAACTGACGACTTTGATGATGTTATGAAATGGTTACAAGGCATGTTTATTGTGTAAACCAATCAGATACTCAGTTGTACCTTATGCTTCACTGGTCAGAATGTGGTACAAAGAGGTACAATATTTCTTTGACAAAACTAAGTAATTTTTAAGAGGAACTTCTGCCACAACTAAGTAATTTTTAAGAGGAACTTATGCCACAACTTAGTAATTTTTAAGAGGTACTTCTGCCACAACTAAGTAATTTTTAAGAGGTACTTCTGCCACAATTTAGTAATTTTTAAGAGGTACTTCTGCCACAACTTTGTAATTTTTAGGAGGAACTTCTGCCACATCTTAGTAATTTTTAAAAGGAACTTCTGCCACAACTAAGTAATTTTTAAGAGGAACTTCTGCCACAGCTAAGTAATTTTTATGGGCTCTTCTCTTAAAATAAAAATTAAAGAGTTTTAAGGGATCATGGGAACCCTGGATTATGCTAATTCATTTTGTTTTCTGTATTTTGGAGTTTTTAGTTAGAACTGAAGAGTATGTGAACTAGACTTGTAGAACTCAGTCCATACAATCAGTTTAAATGAGATCTAAGTTTACTTTTAGGATAAAATGTTCATTGATAGGAGAATTGATAGATTGGTGTTGCAAATAGAATAACATCTAAAACAAGTTTCTGCTTAAATCATGTGATTTATTGTATGCATGCCAGCTATAGTTGTTTTCACTATTGTGTTGGAAGTTTGGTGTAATAACAATAATACATGAAGTCTAAGAATGTAAGGTCTAGTTCTATGTTCACAGTAATTATATGATTTAAGTTATTTCAGCATTACAGGTGATTCATTAAATTTTGATTTTGAGATTTTCCATGTAACCAAAAACACCATAAAGTGTTTCCTGTTTGTTTGTTTGTAGTTATGCACAAAGCTACACAATATGCTATCTGTGCTCTGCCCACCACGGGTATCAAAACTCAGTTTCTAGCATTGCAAGTCTGCAGACATACCGCTGTGCCACTGGGGGGCAAAAAAGTGTTTCCTAACAACATCTATACTAAAATACTTTACAATGCTGTTAAAGTATCATCACCAATGTTCCCTCTATTTTTTTCAATCCATGTGCAGAATGAATTTTTTCATATGCAATCAAGGCAACGTGCGGATATGCGCTACCAGTTTTTTTTAGGGGGAAGGAGTATTTTTAGACCATTGACCCTATTGGATCATTAGGCCACTTTGAAATGTTACCAGTTTGTTATTTGGACTTTAGGCCCATTGACTGCCAGGATCAGTAATGCCATCAACATGTTGAGACTCCTCACCATTACTGAGGATGTGTGCAACTGGAATAATGAAGTATGCGACACTTGATTGGTTGTTGTGAAGTCGTGCAGCTTAGAGGGAACACTAGTCATCACCTAAGAATTCTTCATGATGTATAGTTAAAACATGTCCTTAACATACTTTCTACTTTTTCTTCTTTCAGTAAAGTGAACATTGAAAACAAGTCAAAATAATTTTAACACATTTGATCAATACATATTTAAATATATTATTTGACATAGTGTAATAACTTTCTCAATAAAGGCAATACAATTACCTCACAGTTTCAGCTAGAGTACTAACCAACTCTTCCATACTCAAGTAGTCTTCCAAATTAGCAGTTCTTCGGTAGCCCCAAGAACTCTTGTCTAATGTCATGGCATCTTCCCACTTACGATTTTGTAATTTGCCTAAAAGTAGTAAAAAATGCAAGAGATTGGTCCTAAGGATTTTTAAATAAATTTTTCCCAATAAATCATTGAAACATTTTTCAAGAGTAGCCACTTTCTAATTGCATTGGGAATATGTTAAAACCAGAATATTCACCTATCTATAACCAAACAAAACTTTATTTGCTCATTCTGTCTTATTATAACTACTAAGCATTATATACCGAAAACTAACAATCAATAAATTTCAAGGACTAAGTTTAAGTTCCCAGTACTGGAATTGAGATGTTAAAATCTAATTTTCTAATTTTAAACTTAGGGGGCAGTTTGAACACATAACTAATATGGAAAGCCATTTACACTTTTTTGGACAATGATTAAAAAAATGTGTTTCACTAGTATTAAAAACTGTAAATTTTTCCATTGATCATGCTCTGTTTATTTTCTCTGCTTCTTAACAATGGCTCTGCAGTGATGTTTCTATGAGATTAAGGTTTTTTTGTTTAACAGCCATGTCAATGCAGTCTCATCCTCTTGTGCAGATTTTTTTAACCTGGCTAGTATCTAAGGTCTACAACTTTCAAGTGCAATCCAAGCAGACCACAGGCATAAATCTCCACTGTGGAAACTGAAGGGTATCTGTTCAAACAGGAATATGGTGACTACAGTCTCTTTGGCCATCTTTCTCATAAAAACGAGTCAATGGTTTCAAATTGTTGTTTGGAGCTTCTAAGCCTTTGTCAATATGGTTAACATTATCAGGAGATATGGTCAGTTTCGTTTCAATGACTTTAAGATCAGAGAATTCTCTTTTCCCAATTATAACCCTCACGCTGCAGATGAGGGCATTGGTACTGATAGCATGATGTGGTTTTGGAGCTCATTATAATCCTGAATGCTCTGAATAAAGACTCTTTTCTTCAAATTGTTGTATTTACTTGGCTGTGTATCATTTAAAAATCTTACTGTATGAATACTTCTCTTTGGAATGACCAGTGATATAGTCCTCCAGCCACTGATCAAACCATCTACTTTCACATGCAAGATAAATGCTTCCCTATCAAATATTTTTAGGTCTAGAACCATCGCATGTGTAGAGAAACAATAATTAATTTACATTCATTTTCATATAAATTTGTAAATGACCCTTTGTACTGATTTCTTTTTAAAACTAGAACAGTATTTATACTAGCACATACAGTGTTGTTCTTATTTCAGATAATGATAAATAAACATATAAACTGTTACTTAGGGTACATCTTTACCAGGATTATATTTATCCTGACAAGTGAAGAAACCACCATGATGACAAGCAATGCCTGAACCCCAGCGATCATTGACCACAACAGTGTTCTTCACTGGACTATGGAAACAAAAAATTGTATTAATTATAACTGACATGCAGGCATGAGATTCAGAGAATCATTTTATTACCATGATACATAATAAATGGTCATTCTCATTAAAACATATATATATTTGTTATAACATTGTAAATTGGAATAGATATTTTCCCAGTGGAAAAACAAGAAGTGGTAAAATGTAAAAGAGTCTTATCTTTATCTTTCTACTCAAGGTTTTAGGACAAAAACTCATAGCTTGTGAAAAATTTCTCTGCATTTTCAATTTTATTTAGGGAATGTTTTAAGTCCTTGGTGAGAATATCCTTAACTCTTACTTACAACAAGCTGAAGAGAGAATCCGAAAGTCATTATATGAAACTGAACCATTAGAAAATGTTTGTGCATGAGCACATATGCTGGATTTGTTAAAACATTTTTATTATGTTCATTTAAGTGTCACTATCTGACATTTTATACAACCAATATGTGTGGATAAATCCACATGCATACAGTTTGTAATGGTTTGATTTCATCTAATGACTTTCATATTATCTCTTCAGCTTGTAGTGAACAGGAGTTAAGGATAAACGATGCTATTCTCATTAATGTGGAAAACTTTTTTCTCAAGGTCTAGGGCTTTGCTGCTATGTTCGTTCATACCTGTAACTGATCATTTCTTGAACCATGTTGGTTCATACTGGTAGCTGACCTTTTCTGGTATGTTGGTTCATAGTGGTAGCTGACCTTTCCTGGTATCATGTTGGTTCATACTGGTAGCTGATATTTTCTGGTACTGTGTTGGTTCATACTGGAAGCTGATCTTTTCTGGTGCCATGTTGGTTCATACTAGTTGCTGATATTTTCTGGTGCCATGTTGGTTCATACTGATAACTTGTTTTTGCTACACAATTCATGCTGTTTCACACTTGTAAGTAGTTCTGCTGGTATACCATGTTGATTGATACATGTAGATGATTTTCGTTAGCACTAGGTAGGTTGTTTCATATTTGTAACTAGTTTCTTTAGTAGCATGTTTTCCCATACTTGTAACATAGTTTTGTTAGTAGCATGTTTGCCCATACTTGTAACATAGTTTCATTAGTAGTATATTTGCCCATATTTTTAACATAGTTTCTTTAGTAGCATGTTTTCCCATACTTGTAACATAGTTTCTTTAGTAGCATGTTTTCCCATACTTGTAACATAGTTTTGTTAGTAGCATGTTTGCCCATATTTTTAACATAGTTTTGTTAGTAGCATGTTTTCCCATACTTGTAACATAGTTTTGTTAGTAGCATGTTTGCCCATACTTGTAACATAGTTTCATTAGTAGCATATTTGCCCATATTTTTAACATAGTTTCGTTAGTAGCATGTTTGCCCATATTTTTAACATAGTTTCGTTAGTAGCATGTTTGCCCATATTTTTAACATAGTTTCGTTAGTAGCATGTTTGCCCATATTTATTTCAAACTTTTGTTTTATTCTTAGTTCGTTCCTATAAAATCATAACAAATATACAGTTGCAATTTCTAGCATCTAAGTGAAGTAATTAAAAATGTTAGAGCTAATTAATAGGTATAAATTTAAAATGTAAGGAAAAACGTTTTGCTTTGCTAAATTAATTAAGCATAATGTTATCTTTTATATTTTATTTGTTATAACAGCACAAAAATCATAAATTTTCACTGCTTTGTGTTTTACATGCAGTGAGAAGTGAAAATTCAATCATGAGCAAGGATTGTTTGCCGAATTTTCCATACAGCACAAACTCCATATTTGCAAGAGTTGTTGCAGACTTATTTAGTTACTTAAGAAATCACATGAAAATGCAATATGCGTAATTACACAACAATTCATTAAATAATTAAAACATGTCAACATACTAATAACTAATACATTTAAACTGAAAAAATAAAATGTTTTTTTGAATAATTTACCTCTTATAATTAAAACCTGATATTAATTTCATAAAACATTTAACCTATTGTAAATGTAACAAAAAAGTGCCAATGGTAATTGTTGAACTACTTGCTTTTACTATAAACTAAATTAATGCTTATTAAATTATTACTCATAACAGAATAATAAAGTGTGCTCCTATCAGTATTTTACCTCTTGTTGTAAAGCCATGCAAGAAAACCTCTACTGTTCCAGTACGTGTCTGGAGCCTCCCAGTCTCCATCTGACCAGATAACTTCAGGTTTATATATGTTCACCAATTCTATCAATTCAGGCATAGTCTTGGCCTTAAACAAAGTATATAGGATGGAAAAGTAATAAGTATCGTGGTGATGTAAATCTTTTATATTCACCAATCATTTTATATGGATTTATTCCAATTTTTGTATGCAATAAGAGAATATTCATCAGAATTTGACAGAAACAATCTTTTAAGTTGTAAAATTTCTTTTTTATTTTATTTCACAGATTGTGTTTGGTTTGCTCACTCACTTTCTATAACCATAGTAAAAAAAAAGGATTTGATATTTATGTGCATATTAGTGTTACTTTGTTTTAATTTATACTAACAAATTTAATTGTCATATGCACTGAGGTACGAGTTAATTATAACATATTTTCAAATTAATTTAAAACTAATAAATAAGGAAGTGGAATAATTTTGGTACTTAATATTTGGTCCTGTACATTTAAGATTATATTTTCCACCTCATTTTAAAATCTAAACATTTTTCTTTATACGTTTGCATGATTCATAAAACATCCTAGCAAAACTAGATGACATAAGCACAAATATATTTGAATATGGATTTTCTTTTAAGTACTACTCCTATAAATGATTCAAAAATGTCTATAACACCATCAATAAAAAAAAAGATCTCTTTTCAAGCTAGTCTGTTTAAAAGTATTAATTCTTTAGCTGCCACAGGCCCATACTTGGGATACACTACATAAACTTTGTTTTAGCTTGAAAAGTCTCATATTAACCACATGTGAGTTTGGAATTCTATATCACCATGAAGAAAGGAAGATTCAGATAGATAATGAAGTATTAAAACGTATTTCTTTATCATTTATCTAAACATAAACTTGCCACTTGGAAAAGTACTTATGAAAATGGCATGGAAAAAGTTAAGTACGATATCTGAAAATTAACATGAACTCACATCAATAAAACATGATTTTACACATTTATCTTATGGCACATTACTTCTATCCAATATGATATCTAGAAAGTAAATATGCATAAACTTACCTTTACAAAGAGTTGTGATTTCCAATCATTACTTTTATCATACAGATACAAAGGATGGAACCATTCAAAAAGAGAGTGATAGACTCCAAAGCGAATATTAGTCTTCTTTCTAATTGCATTCGCCAGATCACCTTATATAAAATAAGGGAAGAAAAACTATTATTTCTTAACACACTGTACATCTTTTGGAAACAAGTTTCATAAATACTTTCTGGTTACTGCACACGTGTTTTCATCAATGCTAAGAAGGATAGGGCTTCAAGAAATATAATTTCTCTGTAATACTCTTGTTTGAGTTATACTTTTATTAACAAGAACTAAAATAAAGTTTACTTAGCAAGCTAGAAATATTCTTTAAACTTTACTAAGAAACTAGTTACTATTATCAGTAGCATTCATTTTGATATATAATAAAGACTGCTTTCAGCCATGTAGAAACTCTTCTGGTTAGTTACCAATATGTTAAGTTACACAAAGTTATAAAACAATAATATTTAGTTTTTTTTACAGATAAGTATATGTTTAATTTAATTACATAAAGATTACATAACAACAAAATTCTCCCTTTTGCAAAAGATTTCAACATACAATTAAGTCAAAAGGTATAAAATGTGACACTGTAAGTTGTTGGGGGCACATTAAGGTAAGGTACAAGAAGTTAATAATGTTGGTTAGTTTTACTACAAATCTTGCCTGTTTTGGGACTCTATATCCGCATTTTAAGGAACACGTGTAAACTATCTGTAAAAACTTTTATGTAGTAGTTAATATACATAATTTAGAAAAATAAATAATGAAGTTTAAATTACTGGAGGTAAAAGAAAACAAAAACATGCTGTCTGCAGTTACACTTATTTTTTATAAAGTATCATATATAAAATCGATAGTAAAACCTATCACTTATCAACAAAAATAGAAGCACTATGTTGCAAAATTGATGTATTTGGAAAATAAAAACATAACAGGGTGTATTCACAAAACTACAATCTAGCAGCCAAGAATAACAGAAAGCTTAAATAAAAAGTTATTCTTTTACTATTTTTTAATTTAACAGAAATCCAACAAAATTTAATCTTAATGAAAAATTGCCTTCTCAAAAATACATATAAACACGGTATAAGAGGTACAGTGACAATGAAAGCTCATCCTGTCAAGAATACATATAAATATGGCATAAGAAGTACAATAACAATGAAAGCTCAACTTGTCAAGAATACATATAAATATGGCATAAGAAGTACAATAACAATGAAAGCTTACCTTGTCAAGAATACATATAACTTTGGCATAAGATGCACAGTACCAATGAAAGCTTATCTTTTCAAAAATACATATAAATATGGTATAAGATCTTATACCATATTTATATGTATTATTGACAAGGTGAGCTTTCATTGGTAGTGTACATGTACAATACCAATGAAAGCTCACCTTGTCAAGAATACATATAAATATGGTATAAGAAGTACAATACCAATGAAAGCTTAGAAGAGTTTGTTTTTATATAGTAACCACACCTAGTAGGTCACGTTTCGGTCCAACATCCACAGCATTCCAATTCCAGGAGACTTTTGAGGGCCACAGCGTGTATCCCTCATGATGCTTACTGGTCAGTACAACATATCTGAAACACCACAACAACATGGGTCTTAATATACAAATATAAAGCAAAAGAAATAATGGAGACTAACATTATATATCAATAACAAGATACAGGCTGAGGTATTAAAAATGTTTCTGAAACTACACAGGTATTAATGGCTTATAATCACATGCTGGAAGTAACAGCTTTGTACAACATATCTGAAAAATGAAAACAAAAACAAATAATGGATCTTTTAATTATATATAACATACATCTAAAAAATAGAAGTAACAAAGTCTTAATATATGATATCTAAAATAACAAAAGTATAATATATGTGAAGCAATATTACTTTTAGTCCCATGGCTTATAAATACTTATCAAAATCAAATGCTGATAAAATGGGCAAGCCATATATTTAGTTGGTGATACTGTTAATGATAAGCTGCAAGAGATTTATTTTCTAGCTGTTAGACTAGCAACATATTTTGTCTGGATCCTGGATAACTTATCTACACATAACATGAAGCAAAATTAGATTAATGGTGTATACTCATAAGAATTTGAAGTTCAGATTAGAAAGTGGTTAATGACTGAAACTTGGGTTGCTAAGCCATTTTCACTGAAATATATCTCACTAAATTTATTAACTTAATACTTGTGCTACTTGAAGATATCCTTGAACTCTGGTACGTTATTTTATCTGCAAACTCAGTAACCGAAACTGAAGTTTTGCATTTGATATAATTCATAAAATCTACTAAAATTAGTGCTTATTGGTGGTCTGCCTTTTTCCTTCTACAGAAATGTTTCCAAAAACACCATTAATAAGTAAGATCAAAACAACATTAATTAAAAAAAGTAAATAAAAACAGTTAAAGATAGCTTTACTGATGATAGTTTAGATATATATGCATACAATAAGATTAAAATAGTTTCCATTTTACACACACTCACAGATTTTTTTAAAAACAAACAGAACTATATAAAGGTGAGTGTACAGTGGTATTACTTTTTGATTTTATCAGTAAAACACCCAAACTTTGGAGTCAAGGTCCTATGGAAGTTCTAGCTGTAATGTAAGGAAGGTTTATGGAATAGTGTAAATGCTTAATTATACCTCAGTCGATTCGATCATTTCTAAAACTCAAAGTAATGGGACTTGCTGAAACAAGAACTGTACATCTCTGTGTTAGTGATTCTGGTTAAACTTAAAGACATCAGTTGAGATTATATGTATATGGCATACAACTTTTTTTGTCACAATAATATAATAAAAACACTTCTAAATTGTTGTGCAGATGTAAAGGTGCTCACTAAAGATTACTTTTGTCTTTTTTTATTTGAGAAACAGGCAATTCCTTGATGGTGCATAACTGCCTTTGAGTTTGACTATAATCTCAATTTCCTGAATAAACATTATAGCCATTTCAATTAATAAAGCAAACAGATCTGGTTGGGTATCTAAAATTAGTACAAGTATGATATAATGATAGCACACACGAGCAGATGCTTGGAATAAAAGATTCTAAAAAAAAAAAACTAAAATATCTTACCTCGCTCCTGATGCATTAAAAATATCAGCCCATTGTTCTGGATCATAGAATTCGCAAGTAAAACTTGGGGCAAAGGCTGCATAAGTGAAATTTGGTTTATAGTTCCTATCCATAAAATCTACAAAGGGTTTCAATTTCCTTTGTTGCCACTGTTCCCAGAACCATTCTGAACCAAAACTGGGTACAGAAAACACCCCCCAATGGATGAATATTCCCACTTTACTATCATCATACCAAGATGGTAAAGGTCGGCTGTCTATAGACTTCCATGTAGGTTGATATTGAGAGTTAGTTAGCGCTACAAATCCTAACACTAACAGTGATGCAAGTGAAAACATTTTCGACGTGAAAAAATATCGCGAGTACCTTTTACAGTGCTACTTTAACGACTCTTTTAAAGTTATCACAAACTCACACTATTTTCTCTTTCGGATCCGCCTCCGAGCAATGTGCAACAAAGTATAGTTTGTAAACGAGCTGTTGTCAACCTTATCTCACATGCGCAGTATGACGCCACCCTGTAAGTATTCTTGTTGTAACGTTATTTTAGACAGCTAGAAGGACTAGTGTGTTTTGTCGGATTTCTCCGTTTTTGAAATTAGGAACCTGTTTCGAATTTTTTTAAATCTAAATGCGAAAACACTATAATTTAAAATATACCTCAGTTGAATCGCGAATTGATATTTGACTGATTTAGTAAATTGCATTACTTCCCCGCAGCCCCATTCCAAGTAGTGGCATCAAAACTCAAAATTCTCCTCAACCCACACGTCAAAAGGAATTCGGCACTTGAAAAACTTTTATTCTAGAAATTAATCAGTGCGAAAGACCAAAAGACAGAAAAATCACTCCACCCCACTGTCAAAAAGAATCCGGCACCACTTGTTATTATGTCTGTTTCTTTGTTTGTAATTAAGCACAAAGCTACACAATGGGCTATCTGTGCTCTACCCACCACGGTTATCAAAACCCGGTTTCTAACGTTGTAAGTCCGCAGACGTTCCGCTGTGCCAATGAAGGGGGGCTTTATTATGTCTTTCTAGAAATTAAGCACTGTGAAAGACTAAAATAAGATGTATGGATTGCGTTATTATGGTCCAAATATCGAGCAACATGAGTAAAACTATATTGAAAAGAAGACGAATCAATAGCTTAAAAAGAGCTACTAACTGAATATCCCTTACAAAATAATCTGCCTGTCTGTCTGACTTCATATCGAGTGAAATCTTATGGGGTTGAATTTATGTACTTTTTTCTTCTTTTCAAATTGACAAGACATATGTAACATTCTATTGCTTCTGTCTAGTATGAAAGTAATAATTTTAAAATTATATATTTGGAAGTACAGGAAATACAATCATAATGTTGTATTGAAACATCCCTGTTCTGGACTTTCAAGTCTTTTTTTTTCTTTTTAAATTCCAGTAAATAAATAAATAAAAAAGATAGTAGCTATAACTGAAACGATATTTTTTGTCTTTAGTGCTAAGCCACATTAGGCTATCTGCTGTGTCTACCGCGGGGAATCGAACCCCGAATTTTATCGTTGTAACTCCGATGTCCAATCGGGGGACAACTGAAATGTACGCTAATTTTAAGGTGTTTTAGTTAATATAGTAGCACAAAGGCAATCACAGAATGAACTTCTATGACGAATAAGATCTGAAGAGCCTC